CAGTGAGTCCCAATCTTGATCTATAGACAGATTCAAATGCAATAAAATAAGATAAATAAAAGGAGAGATCTGATTCAAGAAATCTGTATCCTCACTCACAAAAATAAAACATTAGAATTTGCTATGATCTGATTGACACCACATAAGAGCTAAATTTACTTTGGTTTAATATCTGATGCTGTTAAATGTTTGTTTGCATCAGTGATGTTTGGAGTAACAAGCCTATAATTTCATTTATGGTCAGTCGTCAATATGTCAAACTTTTCATGTCATTTATGCTACATGCTAAATACACCTGCAATTTATATGGGTAATTACAGATGAGCCCTTTAATGTACTTGTTAAATGAAAATGTAATTAAAGTTATTTAAAGTTACGTATTTAATGATTTTTTTCAACTTAACTGAGAGAACTGAACTAAACTGAACTGTGGGCTTGTGACTCTGAACAACTAATGTACGTCTCAATACAGAGGGACATGTGAGTAGTGATTTAAAAAGGGATTTCAGGTTACAATAGACTGAGACGTTTCATTTTCCTGTTCAGAAATGATGTCTGGACTCGTAGCTCAGAGAGTAATAGCATTGTGTGTGTTTCACTTTCAGAAATGAAGCATACTGGCGTGAACCCCTTTAACCCGAGGGCCATTCTCGGGTTGATCCGTCTTTAGAGAGGTTATGGTATGGTTACCAATAACATTACGGAGTGAAGGCAGAAGAAAAAGATTTCCCTCCTTCTTCTCTTGATAAGTATCTGTCTCAATCTATTTTATGGCTTTTCAGGACCCATGCCAGGGCACAGAGGGGGGAAGTCAGGTCTTGTAAGTAAATTACAGTAAAATGGCAGGTATTTCTCATCAAAATCTAAACTGACTTTTACAGGCTTACTGTCAAGGTCTATTACTTCATATAAAAAGAGGGCCACCGAGTTCAGTTGGTTTTTCGGGCAATTTTACACTCGGGTTCAAAATGAGAAGAAAACACGGTTCAATAAGAGATTTATGTTTTTGATTGGTGGGCCATGTGACGAGCAGTGATGGGGGGGGGGGGTGATTAGGGAGCACTGCAGAAAAAGGGTGGGGGTGCTTCTGGGACAGATGGAGATCCAGGTAGACATTAATTTGGACCCGGCCTTGACTAATGTAACCGTGTCCACGAAAGAGTTCAGGGGGCTTTTCAATGGATGAGCAGGTGACACAAGATGGATTCTATGGAAAATGTGGAGGCATTATCTGAGGACGTGTGGCCAGAGAGGGAATTGAAGCGGGTGCAAAGACAACCACGATTACGCTGGACTCTTTTACAGAGGGTTATTTAAACGCAGGTAAACCTTCTAAAAAAGACAAATGACTTCTCTCCCATTGCCGGTAGAGGAGTATGCCTTTCTGTATTTTTCCCCCAGTGAGTCATGTTCAACCGTAAACTCTCTCGCCTCGCTGTCTTGCCAGATTAGCGCATTTACCGGGGTGTCACGTTTCCATCACTGCCTATCGGAGCCATTTAAATATCTACTGCTGAGTCATCTGACCCTGGACTGCAGGCAAAAGCTACATGTTGGCAGGTGTCAGTAGGTTTTTTGCCCAGTGGAAAAGGGGCTTCAGTTAATTAATGCCTAAATTGTAAAATATATTTTAGATACAAAAAACTAAACAAAATGTCTATCTTTAAAAGAAAAATGCAAAATTCCCAATTTAGAATTTGCTGCAACAACAAGAAAGGCCCAGTTACTCAAGGTGATAACAAATGTGTCATGTCCATGGTTAACATTAACTGGGCTTAGTTTGCCCTAAGTGCTATAGAACAATGTGATAAAGGGCTGGAAAAGACAGCTCCTTTGTTTTCTCCTCATTAGAGAGGGTCGTCTCACACTCCACCCTTGACTGCCTCGTTATTCCTTTAATTAATCAGTTCTCATCAACGGCACCCTCTCATTCTTTTCAAGGGCTCTACATCCCCGCTATTTACCTCCTCCATTTTCCTCCAGCGATCCTGCGTCCGTTTCTTTTTATCATTTCGGAAGGCTTCCACTCCCCCCCACCAAAAAAAGTCCCTGAGTCCTCCTGCCTCCTCTGCCTGGGACCCCTGTCTGATTATTATGCCATTAAGCCTCTCCTCCTCTCCTCTGAAAGAGCAGCAGGGTCCCTCTCCAATCTAAAGAAGTCCTGGGTTTTTTCTTTCCCTCCTTTCCCTGAAATTACCCGGCGACGCGTGCCTGAGTTTCTAATTGGCATGCCTGTCCCTGGAGACGGCCCCCTCCCTTCTTCCTAATGAAAAGCCTCGGCCTTAATTACACTTTCCAAACGCTGATTGTTATTGACAAAACTCCTGTGGCTCGGACAAACGACGGAAGATTAGCTCCATTACAGGCAGCCCTCCAAGAAGAGAAAGAGAGGGATTTCAAATCGACAATGCAAAGTGAGGGGGGAGAAAAGAGGAGCATTCTTTTTTTTTTCTCCATGTACCTTCCTCTTAATTGTTTGGGCCATTGCTCCACTTAAGACGCCTCTTTCTTCCCCCGATGCCTCTTTTCTGTTCCATTATGTTGCCGTCAGTGTACTTTTAGTCAGCAGACAAAAGCCCAGTTATGTTACTTGAGAGAAAATGTTCATCTTTTGTCAATAGACAGGATTGCTGATGGCAGCATGGGTAAACAGGAGGATTTGGCCTAATGCTTTTGTTTGCCTGCAAAAGGTACATAGACTGTCTAAAGCTGATATGTCTGCAACGTCCAAAATCAACACCTCACATCAAGACGGACACTCTACTCTCCATAAAATGATGTGGTGATTAAAATTTACTGAAAGCAGTGGATACTCATTCAGTTTCAATATCAAGTTCCTAATTTTCATCCACTCTTAATCATCTCATTTCACCGTAACCCAACCCTCTGGCTCATCTTACCTATTTTATCTAGTTTTTCCTCTGCATGTGTTCCACCAGCAGAGCTTGGACCTGAGCAGCTGTGACTGTTGTGCGGATCTTTTTTTTTTTTTTTCCAGGCTCAGCGATATCTCCGTCTTCCTGATTAATCTGGAGCGGAGCGCACAGTTTCACAGAGGGGGGCCTTTCATTGCCTCTCTAATGAGAAGCTGTGATACATCATGACTCGCAGATAGCCAATCGCACCCTAGTCCCCAGGCGTGTGCACACACACACACACACCAGGATTAATAAAGCACATTCTCTGAGCCCCCCCCAAACAGTCCCTGCACTCCACAAAATCTGACCTCTGAGTGATGATGTCATGTCCATCAGACACCACCAACCATGACAGATGATGTCATCATAATCTCACTAGTCGTCTGTCCCATGTCAAATAATACCTTGTTTTCGTTCTTTTTTTAAGTCAAGGTGAACAGATCTTTTTAAAATCCAGTTATTTTGATAAAAAGTAAGGTTGCATGTTTTTAATGTCCCTTTCATATTAGATATTATCCATTGTAGGGAAATAAAAATACAAGACTTTTTTTATGGATGTTCCTGGTCTCAGGAGGCGCAGAAAACATCTTCCACACTCCAATGATTTTTTTACATAGTGAATCGTTTGGACTGATGTCCTGTTGTTGTGGGGCTAAAGGTGGCTTGTATGGAGGCTGTTTTTGTGTCTGGTGATGTGGCGACATGGGATTGAAATAACTGGTATTGAGTGTTTGCTGGGAGGCGGTGAGAGGAGGGGAAAATACCTTGTATTGTCCTTTTAAAAAAGGCTTTGCAGGCCTCACAGGAGGCCACCCCATAGTGATACCCCGAGGCTATATCTCCACAGACCAGGCACAGCCTCTTGGGGAGGGAGTTCAACATGTATTCGCACTTTATGGACGAGTCCTCCATGATGGTGCTGGAGCAGTCGTCATAGCGCTTGCGGCAGGTGCCAGCCCCGAGTCCGCTTGGGGTGAACATAGGTGGAGAGTCCAGGCCGTTGGAGTGGCTATTCATAGTGCTGACATAGCCGCCACTGGCATCTGAGTTGCCGCTGGGGCTGTGGTGGCTGACCGTGTCGATGACCGAGGAGGGACTGGACGGCTCCGTCTTGATGTAAGACCCACA